ATAAAAATAATTTAGATCTATTATAAGTTGAAGGCTTTCAAAACCTCTTAACTGGTTTTGACAAATTTTTTGATGAGGAATTAATTATGTCTATTGATGAGGATAATCATATAGAAATATTTTCTTTTGCATCATTAAAAAGTAAGGATATAATTTGTGCTATGTCAAGTTTTTATGGTGCCCCAATGTTTTTAAATATTATTGTTAGTAGTAATAATAAAGAAGAAGTAATATATTAGTATAGATTAGTAAGTATAGTTTAACTTTAATTTTATTTGCATATTATCATAATTATGCATTTACCAATAAAAATAGTTAATAATGATAATAAGCAAAATAATTCTCGAAGTTAGAAGCATATTTAATATATTTTTATCTAGCTTCAAGAGTATTAAATCTATACTAATATAAATGTTATATAATAAGTTATTGTTAATACTTAAGTTTGACCAAGTAGATAGAGAACCACTTGAATTCACTTTAGTTTACTGATATAAGGAATTTGGTGAATTATAGAGATGTTCTAAATTAAACAATATAGTTATATACTGTTAGATAGCATAGATAAAATAGTTCATATAATTCTAAGATATAATAAAACAAATAAATACTTAGTGAACATTTTTATGTTGTAATATTATATTAAAAGGTATATTGATATTTAAAGTGTTCTAAATTTGAAAGTGTATTTTATAATATATATTTATCGATTGATAATGATGTAATAAAAATTATGACGATTGAAATAGATTTGAAGACAATAGATAACTGTATTTTATTGATTATACCTTATTATCAATTTGCATTGATATTTAATATATATTAAGAATAAATCTGTTTATTGATATATATCATTAATTTTCAAATAATATATATAAATTAAATGCTATATATCGATTAATTTCTGTAAAAAAAATTTCCTGATAACTGGCTGACTAAACATGACCCCTCCTATACTAGCCTTTACCTACTTCTAACTATCAATTATATATGATACACAGGATGCATATATAACTCCAACAGAATTCAAAACTATTGGACTTTTAACATCCTAGCCAATTCTGCAACAAAATTCCTAAGATAGAAAAAACACAACAATACAAAAAAACTTAACTTATATGCAAACTATCTAGACCTTATTTACTCTATTACTTCATGATTATCTCTATCAATCCCACTATCATTTGCTATTATACTCACTAATACACCCATATTTAACCTATTTAAAGTTAACTCTTCTTTTATTAAACTTCAGGAAATTGCTAACTTCAATAAAAGATACACTAACTTCATATTTTATACAGATGGATCAGTCACTAATCTTACTACTAACAAATGCTCCATGAACATCAGATGGATACAAATTTACAATAATACAATACTCCAATCATCTCTTCCTGTATTAAACTCTGGCTATCATCTTATAAAGCAGAACTTATAGCAATACTATCTGCTATATGTACATGTTCACACAACAGCAATATACAAATCTATACAGACTCTCAATTAATTATTGCAAAATTCAAAAAAATTATCAGTTATTTAATCTCAACACACAAACAATACTCTTATTCATATTGGCCTATTTGGCATTCATTACTCAACCTAATTCAATTTTATCAATATACAGTTACTTTTCACAAAGTATCTGCATATAGTAACAACATATTTAACAATGAAGCTGATAAGCTAGCAACAAACCACAACTCTATTGCATATCTTGACTTTATACACAATAATCTATACAACACCTTATATACTTTAAAATATGGAAAATACATAATTAAACAACCGACTAGACGAGTCATTAAAAATATCTGTAATGCATATATAATTGCTATGTAGTCATTACAACATTGTATAAGCAACATTATTCCACTGTCATCACAAATTAACTGAAATGCAATATGGTTATATCTTAACAACAATACCAAACGAATGAACAACTATACTAACTTTTTACTTAATTAAAGCAAATCATTCAAGATCAAACACTACTTAACATTCTACCAACACTATACCATCTCCATAAACTATATCTAAACAGCTTTCAGCACAACAACTGCATTACTTGCCAGACATCAGAACACCCACTGCACTGGCTACTGTGCCCTAACTCAACAAATCTTACTAGTATTATTTCAGAAACAATTTCTAAAATCATTAACAATAACTCATTACTAGAAATTACACAATCACAATTACAACAATTATATGATTTACTAACTCAACATAACAGCCTATCAGTCAACAATGCCTATCGAAGACAAAGCAACATATATATAACACTACAAAGATACATGCCAACAGATCTAATTACTACAATTAGATCTTATACCACATCTCATTAAACTGCAGCTTTAATAACTACCAAACTGCTTACTAAAATATTACAAAAAATATATGACCACATATGGAAACCATATACTACTAAATTAATACAATAGAAAAAAGACAATAACATTACATCAAATAACAGATTTACAACTTACAGAAGATCTTATAACTACTCTAATCAATATTATAACCTATACTATACAGTTTGCCAACTGTGTGGTCTGTCTAACCAACTTTATACAGAAGATAATAACTGCCCATCACTAGGAAATACACTTCATAAAATTGACCTTTGGTCTATATACTGAATACTATATAGTTACCCTACAAACAATATCTTATATTATCAAATCTAGGTAAGTTTTAACCACTTTAGTAGGTTTAGGTTGCAAATAAATTAAATAGAAGTCTGTCTATAGTCTGAGCTCTATTCTTGTAATATATTTGTAATTGGAATAAGTTTGTAATTTATATCCAGAAAAGCCCCTAAAGGCTTCTTTAACAAATCAATAAAGATATGAGCAAAACTTCATCTTAAAAAAAAAAAAAAAAAAAATATAGTCTTCTTAACTTTCAGTTAATATTTTAATTAATTACTATTATAAAACACAAAACTATACTTTACTCTTTTATCTTTTCTAACTTGCTTTAAATAATATCTTCTTTTCAATTATTTTATAAATTTCTTTTTATCTCTTATCAATATCAAAAAACTCTTATATTATCTATGATATTCTTCCTCTTAGTTCATCTATAACTACTATTAATAGTCTTGAAAATACAAAATTATATTTTTAAAACAAATTACAACTACAGATAACAAAAAATACTTTTATAGAACAATATTTACCTATATACAAATAAACCTATCAAAGGTTACCAACTATAATAGTTTATCCAAATTCTATAACTAAATCAATCTAATATCATTAACCTAACTTGGCCTACTTTGAATCTACTTTTTATAAATCTTTTTCTTAATACAACTAAATTAATATTATCACTCTCATTTTCAAACTTATTTTTTTTTTACCAACTCTATTTTATAAATAATTAACTATTTTTTATCTCTTATTAAACTACTTTTTAACAACTTTTTTTTTTAAAAAATCTTTTTATTTACTTCAGGTCTTTTATAACTTCTTCTAATTTTCTGTTATTTAATATTAAATTATTATTCTTTCTATCTTTTTTATAATCTATCCAACAAATCAAATAATTAAACAATTATTTAAATTAATTTTAAAGAAATTCTAACTTCAATCAATATATATAACACTATTTTTTTCCAATCATCTCTATTATTACAACTACAAATAGTTTTATCATCTTATAATGTTTAACTTATTTAACAATTCATTTATATACCAATATATTAAAAACAATTAATTAATCTTAACTATTTTATTACTCAACTTAATACATACAATTACACTTTTATACTGATGGATTAATTAAAAATCTTCAAACTTTAGATGTTAAGTTTAGTATAAGATGAATTTGCTAATATAATATATTAATAAAATTCAATGCAACTATATAATCATATTCTGACTCAACTCATACTGAACTTGAAACAATTCTTTACTTTTTATTAATAGTTTCATCTAATATTTTCTTAAATATTTATATTAGCAATATAACTGCTATTAAAAATCTTAAATATTCTTTTATTTTCCAAATTCATACAAACTAAAAATTAAGATTTTATTTATTATATTAATTATCTTAAACATTTTAAAAATATTAATACTACTTTTTACAAAGTTAAATCATATTTTACAGATTCATTATACAACTAAGCAGATTCATTTGCTAAATAAGGAACTACAAAATCTATTATTAAGTTCAATAATTCAAAATTTAATATTTCAAACTATTTCTTATAAAACAACTTTATAATTTCTTTTAAAGTTTGTACCTTTATCAAAAATACTATAATTATTCAAGAAATTGCCAAATAGGTGAATTTAAAATTTTTTCAAAATATTACTAATATAAATAGTCTCTTATATTTAAAATTATTTTTTTATTTAAAGATAATTTACAAAAAATACTCTTTTCATATCAAATTCTTACTAATAACTTATCTACTATACAAAACTTTAATATTTATTATCCTTACCTTTATATTACATCTAATTGCTCTTACTGCACAAACATTGAAGATACTCTTCATCTATTCTCATGCTCTAACAATACTACAAATAGCTTACAATTACTTGAAAACACTATACATAACACTTTTATATCACTTCAATTCCTAATATAACCACAGCAACTTTATTAAATATTCTTCTAAAATTTACACTTTATTTTCCAAATCTCCAATACAAATATATTTTATATGCTATTACTGGAACTTATTCTATTACTATATATGATAACATCAAAACACTTATTAATCATTTTTTTTTGTTTTACAAAATTTTGCAAATCACAATAAGTAATAAATAAATTTTCAATTAATTCTTTGCAACTAATTGATCATTTCTTTAATTGATTAATTAATTACCTTATGGGTTGTAAACTAGAAAAACCCACCTTTGAGGAGGTTTTTCATTTTGAGAAAATGACAATTATTTTCTGTGAAACCCAAAGTTTTGCCCTGGATTTTTGGTTTATTTTTAGATATCAATTACTGAATAAACAACGTCTTGTGATTATAACATACTAATTGACCAATATAATTTAATTGAGTCATCAGTCAATCTATATTTAGAAAATGAACGTTAAAAATTCAAGTTAAAATATTTCGATAAATTATAATAACAACATAGGGTAAAAAAAAATAAAATACAAATAGATAGAAAACGGCACTTTAATTTGAATCAAAAATCTCAAGATTGTTTGAAAAGTGTCAAAGGCGGGTTTTCCTAGTCCATCACCCATATAAGCGCGAAATAACGCGCAGGGACGTTATTTGAATTTTGGTCCGAATTAAGTTTAATTTAGGCCAAATGTCGAAATTACACTCCTTCGCGTTTATACGGTAATCGATTATCGGCGTCTAAAAGTTCAATCGATTAGTAACCAACTAATCGATCTTTTCAACATTACTTCATGTGATTTGCTAATCACGTGATGATTACGTATGCTTCATGTATGTACATACGTACGTACTATAAACATTCTTCCGAACTCCGACGGCGTTTATATAATGGTTACACTACGTTATAGAAAAATTTTAGCTCCTAGAAATGATAGCATTGCCAAACGAATGTCTTTTCGAAATATTTATTCATCTTAAAGATCATGGTAGAAGCTTATTTTCATGCCTTCTTGTAAACCGCCAATGGTGTAGAAATGTTGTACCGATATTATGGTGTGAATTAGACATTTCTAAAAATGAGAAACTTGTAAGAACATGTCTATTGGCATTAAACGTTGAGGAACAAGCACAATTAATACCATTTGAAATAATACTTCCAAATGAACCAAAGCTGTTATTTGATTATATTTCTTATACTAGAATTATTAAAATTAATTCAAATGATAGCATCACAAATTGGCTTAACAATGAAGGGCACGGATCTCGCCATTTAACATATAATCCATGGTCAAAGGTGGTTCAAGCAATTAAACATTCTTTAACTCTAATGTTTCTGAGAACAAGTGAGAAACTTAAAGGTTTAAGTATTTACGGTGAAATAATAAATACATTAGACAAGATTCTTGATAAGAGTATAACTCTAATGTCTTTAAAGATTTCGAATAATCAATTTGGTTCTGAAGGATGGAAAGCATTAATAAATGCACTTTGTAAAAATACTACTTTAACTTATCTAGATCTTCGAGATAACCAACTTAGTTTTGAAGAAGGCAATGCACTAGTAGAGGCTCTTTACAAAAACAACACTTTAACCACTTTAAAGCTTGGTCACAATCAACTCGGCAGCGAAGGAGGGAAAGCCTTAGCAACAGCACTTTATAAAAACAGCACTCTGACCTCTTTAAATCTTAATAAAAATCAGCTTGGCTCTGTAGTGGGGAAATCATTAGCATCTGCGCTTTGTGTAAACACTACTTTAACTCATTTGAGTCTTTCGAATAATCAACTTGGTCATGAAGGGGGTAAAGTACTTGCTGAGGCCCTTTATGAAAACACTACATTGACCTATCTGAGTCTTAAGAATAATCAGCTTGGTACCGAAGTAGGAAAAGCATTTGCAAACACACTTTATAAAAACAATACTCTGACATCTCTAAATCTTAGTAAAAATCAATTTTGTTCAGAGGTAGGAAAAGCACTAGCGGCGGCACTTTATACAAATACTGCATTGAATCATTTAAGTCTTTCGAACAATCAACTTGGACCTGAAGGTGGGAAAGCACTTGCAGAGGCACTTTGTAAAAACGCTACAATAACTTATTTGAGTTTAAGGAATAATCAGCTTAATACTGAAGTAGGAAAAGCGTTTGCGGAGACTCTTTATAAAAACACTGCATTAAACTACTTGAGTCTTAGAAATAATCAACTTGACACAGAAGTTGGAAAAGCATTCGCAAAAGCACTTTACAAAAATACTACTTTAACATCCTTGAATCTTAGTAAAAACAAATTTGATTCTGAAGTAGGGGAAGCGTTCGCGGAAGTTCTTTACAAGAATACTACTATAACTTCTTTGAAGCTTTCTGACAATAAAAATGATAATACTATATTGTAAAATTAGCGATTTATTTGTATGAATAATAAATATTGTAAGTTATTGTATTTTTGTAAATGAATATTTTAGTATAAATGAGATTATGTATTAAATGATTTAACTCTAGAGTTTGTGTCGATTAGTGCTTGTATTCGAATAAAATTTAAGAATAAAGCCGATGTACAAAAAAGTTGTTACATATAATTTTCTGAAATCAAATATTCCGCAATGGTTAAGTAATTATTATAGTGTTGGCATTTTTGAATACTTTTTTTTAAAATCAATACTAAAAAAATTTGCTAATTCGAATAACAAATTTAGTTTTTGTAGTTATTTGTAGTTATAGCAGTGAATATTATGAATATAATTTTTGATGATTAGTCTTGAATCTTTACGGCATTTTTGATTAGTATGATATTTGATTTGAAATAGGTTATTTGAAAGGATCCGTATCATTTCACCGACAGGTTTATTTCGCCGCCAAGTTTATTTCACTGACTAACCTTAACTCCAATTCTAATCTGACCTAACGAAAATAGCCAGAATTACTTTGTCGGTGAAAGAAACTTGTCAGTGAATTGACTGTTGGTGAAGTGATTGTCGGCGAAATGAGCACCACCTGAATTACTCGAATAATTTCAGGATAGTACCCTTTATGAAATCTGATTCGTTGAATCTCAATTGTTATGCAATTACATTCAACTAAAAAAATTGGTTTAAAAAAAACAATAGTAATCTACTACAATTGCGAATAATTGCAATTAATTGCAATTTTTACTTTAATGTAAATTTCATGATAATGCAAAATTTAAGAAATTGAAAAAATCAATTATATCCAAAGACAGAAAGAAATACATTGCAACCGTTTCTTTTTTGTTTGATTATCGGCTGTGATCTGGAAGAACATTAAATTACGCTGATGCTTACCATCACGATCATTTGAAGGTCTAAAAAAGGTATCTATGCAACATTTGTTCAGAACTTCGCGGTATTCATTGGAATCAATTGAAAAGACCTAGAGCGCTACACTGATATACGTGTCTTCATAAAGAATATCATGTATATAGTTTGCACAATTTGTAAATTTTGTAATTCAAAAAGCGATTTTTTTTCAACTATAATTTTTGACGTCAAAATCAACAAATATACTCATAGGTCTATTATTACATATTTCGTAAATCGTTACATTTTGCAAACCAAGGCAAAATTTCAATTTATTGAATTAACCCTAGCTGCCGCGTAGTGTTCCGAGTTGGTAAAAATTTTTCCATGTCAATTATAGTTGCAACTAATCGATTTATCCTATCATGTGACTAAATTTGTTGGTTGGCCAATCAAACTAAAGAAATCAACACCAACAGACGGAATATCTCGGAATTTAACTAGTCAACTAGTTGATTTTTAACTTTTGATTGGCTAAGAACGACGATCAAAAAATTTGGCCGGAATTACTCAAAATTTTACTAATGAAATCACAGCCTCCCATTAAGTGAAAATGGTTCCTGGGCTAATTTTATCATTTTGCGGGCCTATTTCTTTAAAACTTTCTATTTTTGGAATGAAAAGGTTAAAAAGTTAATTTCGGCCAGAAATTAGTAAATAATTATGTAATGGGGCAGATCCACGGCCGTTAGCTAATCCAACTGATTTTTTGGGCGACGCTAGGGTGATTTATAAGTTGTAGTGTGAACTTCATTATAGCATGAATGTGTTGTAATCGTTTGTTTATCGTGTTTTCTTGTATTTCTAAATGAGTCACCTTTATTTTTTTGTCGACATATGAACAACAAATGAATATATCAGTTAACCTTCATATAATGAACTGACAGTTCTTATAATAAAAATTTTAATAAGTTCCTTATGGAAATAGTTTACTATTTTCCGATGCTGAGCTTTAATAAATATTTTTTAAAAAAGTTCTTTATACTGTTATAGAGCATAGATGCGTTTATTATAAAAAGGTTCGTTGCAAGAAAGACTACATTGGCGCATCAAAATAAATCAGATGGTCGGATTATCATGTAACTGTGCCCTCTATTAGTGATGACGCTAGATTTGCTGACCCAATTTTATAAGCAAGCCTGAAGTCTAACGTCACGTTTGTATAAATTTTAGATACATTTGCTTACTATACACGATATATTACTTTATATTCAGTTGCGACCTAATCATCCATACTCACGTGTTTGCTAATTTACTTCACTACTCTACACCACTACTATTCGATAGCAATTAATATTTGAAGCAAGCAATACTAATCAGTGAAGATCTTGCTGCTGGGTAGTGGTAGTAATAGATTATCGGGTAATTTTAACTTGAATGAATTCTTACGACTTAAAATTACATAACAATAACGATAATAATTATTTTTCTTTATATTTACAATTGACAAAACCACTATGATTATAAATTACTAATAAAACATGATTTGTGAAGAAAAAAATGTCGTATAAATATGTCAAATAATATATATATGTTTTTTTACATGTCTCGTATGATTAGTTTTCATTTAAGTCTCAATTCTATCAGTAGCTTTTTCAATACACATCTCCTGATTATTAACTTCAGAACGCCTTGATCCATAAAGGGCGTACACTACTAATCCGATTGCCATCCAAATAAATAATCTAGCAATAGTTGGAACTGTTGCTGTTGCTATTAATAATATACTTAATGCGGCACCTATAAACGGAATCAAAAATGGGCCACCTGGTACTCTGAATTTTCTAGGGGCATCTGGGGCTGTAAATCTTAATATTGTAACACCTACGTTTACTAGGAAGAAAGCCAATAGTGTGCCAACAGACATTAATTCGGCAAGTACATCAATTGGGAGAAATGCTGCTGCTATAGAAGCAATTGTGCCAGTAATTATAGTTATTACGTATGGAGTACCAAATTTAGGATGAATATTTGAAGCAAATTTGGGAATCAATCCATCACTACACATAATAATCAATAAAATATATTAATGTATGTTCAAATAATTTGATTGAAATGTGAAATTAAGATAAATACTTTGCCATTGCCATAAAAATGCGAGGCTGCCCCATCAATGTTATGAGAATAACTGATGTTAAACCAATTACCGCACCAATATCTACAATGATTCCTAACCATCTCATCCCTATTGCATTAACAGCTACAGATAGTGGCGCAGGACTATCAAGTTGCGTGTATGAGACTACACCTGTCAACACGACACTTAAAATAAATAAGTTAATAATATTATTCCAGACACCTAGCGCTAGATAACGTTTGCCATTATTAGGAACTACATTACAATTGTATGAACTTGTTGCTTGAGTTTTTAATAGTATATTCTTATTAAATGATGCAATTAAAAAATAATATGTATTGCACTTTAAGCTCTGGCATGCAACAGTAATTTAGGTTCAAAAAACGACAAAGTTATCAAGAATAAAACGTAACAGTAATAAAATGTGAGGAACTTACCATACAGCGACGTAAATAAATGTGACAATACTGAAGCTACCCAGAATTGCGACTGGTAAATCCTTTTGCGGATTTTCGGATTCTTGTGCAATAGTTGAAATCGCATCAAATCCAATATACGCAAAGAACACAACAGTAGCCCCTGACAATACACCAGTAACCTAAATTTTTAATATAATTATTAAATTCATTACTTAAAAAATTTTAGCCAACAATTTAATATTAAAACAAAAAACATACACCAAAACTCGAAAATGATCCTTGATTTTGTGGAATAAATGGATGAAAGTTTTCATTGTGGACACGAGTTCCAGCGGCAATAATAAACAAAAAGATAACTATAAGTTTCACAGAGACAACAAATGTGGCAAATCTAGCAGATTCTTTGATTCCTATGACGAGTAGTATAGTCAAGAAAACTACGATAAAAAAGGCAGGAACATTGAAATAGGCACCAGGAACCGTTTGAAAAGAACTGGTTGTACTGTTGAATATAAACGGTGATTCGGTCCATGCTGATGAAAGTTCGACACCAAAAGCATCAATAAAGAAAAACCTAAAGTAGCCGGACCACCCTTTTTAAATAATTGTTGAAACAAATAAAAGGTTTAATATATAGATAATACTAACACTAATACTGGTTAACACTAATTGAACGTGATAAAATCAGTATAAATTCATTCTAATTGAACTAATTGAGTTATTATCGGCAATTTTGCAAGCAGCCTGCAAATATTGGACAAATGATTTTTTATTTTGATTAGAGTGATACGTACCAACAGCTACTGCGGAAGCACCCACTAAATATTCCAAGGTTAAATCCCAACCAATAATCCAGGCTATTAATTCACCTAATGTTGCGTACGTATAAGTATATGATGAACCTGAAATTGGGATCATCGAGGCTAATTCAGAGTAAGACAACGCAGCAAAACTAGCAGTCAGTCCAGCCAATAAAATAGAGATAACGACACCCGGACCCGCCCTAGTCGCGGCAGCTTGGCCTAATGATGCAAAAATTTAAATCTTAATACGTATAATCTGGAAAATACTGATAATTTAATCTCAAACCTACCTGCTAAAACAAATATGCCATTTCCAATTATACCGCCGATGCCAATCATAATTAAGTCAAAGACATTTAAAGACTTTTTGAGCTTAGATGCTTGATAATCCTCATCCAGACTTTTAATTGATTTCACTGTAAATAATCTTCGTAAACGGTATCTCCACGCACTTTCACCTTCTTGCCTTGGAGCTCCTGAAGTTACGAATTCGTAACTTGACATAGTATTTTTCATGTCCGTCATCGTTATTATTCTTTAACAATTTTTTAATCTAATAAAGAAAGTTTCATTCGAACTCAGGAACAATAACGATCTAATGGCTAAATTTTACTGATAAAAAAGAATGAAACTAAAATATATATATATAAGGGACATTTCATGCTATATATAACTTTGAAATGCATAAATTGACATTAATACTTAATATTTTTTCACATGATTTCATTCAATTTATATTTCGAATGAACCATGTTAATTTACCTTGATAGTCATTTGAAAGTGTTCATACTGATACATAAATAATACATATAAACCGTATATTCTTCTCGCTACGTATTCACATTGATGCAATAATTGCCGCTCCTGGGAATCAGTATGATACGTGTGCACAGAAATTAATTTAGGAATATGATTGACGTTAAGAACCAGGAGCAATTTGTACGTATCATCTTGCGTGAATTCTCACGTACGTATGTATGCATACTAAATAAGAATATTTATACTAATTCCGTCGACTTGCTTAGATACGTTTCAATCATCAATGAAATTAGGAATAATTAAAACGAATAAAAGTACTTTAAGCTCAGTGTTGTACGCTGAACGATTAGGACAGGTTTGGGACGAATTTGTAGTTTAAAAAAACTGTACGTGATAACAAAATTTTATTAAGTTCTCAAGCTGAACATTGAGAATTTGATGGGACATTCTAGGATGGGACAGGACAAGGCCAAAAAAGCTTGAAACAGTCAAAGTACAACATTGCTTTAACTAATCGTGGTTTATCGGGAGCCAGTTGATTGATATAGTGAACCTAGCTCATAACTAAAATAAGTGAACTCATCCAAAGATGGGAAGGGTTCCGGATAGTGATGCGGTAGAATCGTCCCAATGATAGTCGTCACATTACCGTAACTTGCCGTAACTATAGCAAGTAATATAGTTACGCAAGTTACGTTAATGTGACGACTATCATTGGGACGATTCTACTGCATTACTACGTAGCTCCAGAACATCATTTTTAGGTTTTTAAAGGCCAAAATTTCCCAGTAAGTATCATTTATTAGGCCTTAAAAATAAGTTTGACAGGCTATATTTTTTGCAATAACGTCATAATGATAACGGTGTGTATTCTACAGTTCTTACAGAACTAATATGGTCTATTGTAACTCTCCTGAAGAAAATGTACATCCTAAAATTTCAAAAATCCAAGTTTTCAGCATGTCCAAAATTGCTCGAAATAGTTAATTTGGAAACTCCGTTAAAATCTCATTGCAAAGAATTTAAGAATTGCTACAGGACAACTATCACCGTTTTTTGTTTATTCTAAGATCACAATGAAGGTCATGGTAATCGCCATCTTTCCATACTTGCTCAAAACACTGCTGGCTAAGAGTTCGGAATTTCCTTTGTAAACCAACTCATTATAAATTGTTATCATATACAGATTCTTTTAATTGTACCCAGGTAAAAAGTACGTGCATAAAACTCTATTTAAAATACCGGTCAATTTATCAACTCGCAAGGGAACGTCCACTCTAAGAAGGAAAGTTGCATTGGTAGTCGGATCATCTTCTTTTCTGGCGAAAATCTTGCCTTTCATTGTTTTTAAATCTTAGGCCACGCGAAGATGATTTTTCGTTTTGCGTTACCCACCGACCTATTTTTTTCAATTTTTCAAAAGCTTTTATTTTTTTTTAAATCCCAATTGTGCCAATTATTCGATTTTTGCCATTTGATTTTTTTCGTTATTTTTATCCGGTATTACCTGATGCCGACCGACCAACGGGTACCCTTATGTCCAGAAAATCCCGGGCTGAAGATCACTTCCGACCCTATCCGGATCCAATAAAATCACAGGATCTTGTGTAACAAAACAAACGCGAAAAACATAAGAAATTGTAAAAAAACGTAAATAACACAAAAATTTACTATGATAACTAACTTCCGACCTCTAAGTAAAAGTTTTCAGAATGAAATTTTACTTATAGGACACAATTGTTAATGTTAGATATATAGTGAATTTTTGAATACTACGACCCATATTCATTTGGCTAGCAGCTCGGAATTTTCTGGACATAAGGATATCCCCGACCAACAGGAGCGACCGTCAAGGTTACACGAAATGCAAATCATTTCTGAAATCTTCCAAACCAATCAAATTTGATATCACATGATTATTAGCCAATCACAGTTGATAAAAAAATTTTTTTGTGCGTTTTTTTTTACTTTTTGAAAAGCTTGCGCAACTTATTTTTAATATGAAACATGAAATATACTAAGCAAGCTTTAAAGTTTTTATACTAAAATTTAATAATATTACTTAAATCTACTTGAATCTAACAACTTTTATATTAATTTTTATTTAAAGCAAATATGCTAGAATGCAAGAAATATTATATTATTAAGTTGACTAGATTTTATTTATTGAATAAAAGAAAGTAAAAAGAGATTAAACATAACAATTTAGTAAAAAAAATGTAGAAAGAAAAAGAAATTTTGTATAATTTATGTTATATGAATTTAGTTAAAAATTCTTTAAAAAAAGGTTTTAAAATAAAACTTGCAATTGAAAAAATTAAAGCAAATATAATAAAAGAGAAAAGTATAAAGATTGATCTTATTAAGGAAATAGTAAAAGTTTTTTATAAGAAAAAGCATGTAAAACAAAAAAATTCTATTTATGTTTTTGGTAAAATACAAAATTATTTTAAAAAACTAAAAAACTACATACAATTCTTTCTGATGATCATTTGATCAAACTTTTCAAAAAGTCAAACTACAGAAAATAATATAGTTAATATATTAAACTTTATAAAAACCTTTTTGGAGTACTGTACATGCATTGTTGGACATTGAAATAGAGTTAAAAAAGAGTCGCAGCCTTGTGGTAATGGTTTAAAGAGCACTCTAGAACTATAGAAGAAGTAGTTGGTGAAAGCCAAGGTTCTTTATTAAGTAAACAACAAAGTTGGATATATTAGTTCTATACAACTGTAAAACTTACAAGAAACATCCACAAGGGTTAAGAACTCACAAAAGCTAAAAAGTTGGTTTACCTAGCACTCTCACTTTTTCTTCGAAGAAAATTTTGTAAAAGTGGACAATTTAGTTTACCTCTTTCTAAAGATCGATACGTAAAATCACCAAAACAGTCAGTAGTGTTTACTTCCTAAACAGGATTGTTTACAACATGGATTAGAAATAATACAGCAATACAAACATGACTATACACATGCCTTGAGCTATTAAAAACCTGTCAAACACTGTCTCCAGACTAATTAGTACCTTATACTGATCCTTTACAATAAAGTCAAAGTTTTTTTCTTTTTTTTTGGTTTTTTGTTTAAATAATCTAAGTAAATAAAAAGATAATAGAATAATTTCTATTTAGTATAGTTTATAATTTTTACAAGCCCAACACAAGCTTATAATTGTGATTGTCTGATGATATCTGTAAATTGCAAGTTTCACATCTGACACAGGCTTAAAATCATGACCGTCTGATTTTTTTGTGAATTGCAAGTTTCACACTTTCATTTTTTCTCATTTTTTTCTTTTCCCCTTTTATTTCTTGTTTTGTATCTTTTATCATTTACCCCTATACCTCTGTTTTTTTTTTACATATAAAATCTTTTTTTTGTTTTTTTGTTTCTCTACGAGAAGACATTATCAGATTGGTGGTATCCTATTGTAAGACAGCAATCAGACAAGCAGTCTACCTCTATTTGAGGTATTATGGCAGGTCGCACTTAGGTACCAATAAGGTGGTTGGGTGATGCTGGACTTAAGTATTAGAAAAATTTTCTGTAATCTGTATAGTATCAAGAATTCTAATAAAGTACTAGTGTGACTGCTTAAGTTAAAAAAAAAAAAAAAATTTTAAAAAACTAATTCAATCTTAATAAAATTTTTTAATCAGTTTTATTCTACAGTTCAGTTTTTTAAATATAATAAATAAACAATAAATTATATAAAGAAATTAATAGTATTAATTTGCTATTTGTTTGCTTTATTAAATAATACAAAAATTAATGTTTTTAAGCTTGATTTTGTTTATTATTTAAATTCAGTAGATATGATTAATAAGGACTTAAACATAATGACAAGTCTTAGTATATTTATAATAATAAAAATTATAAAAAAACATAAGAAGAAAAGAGCATTAGATGTATATAAAAAATATATAGTTAATGTTTTTATAAAATATTTAAAAAATATTTTGATACTTAATATTAACAATTATTACAATATCTATATTCTACATTAACCTAATACTATAGCAATGTCTTAACCAATATATATAATATTAATTTTGATAAATCCATATTGTATATTGTAATATTATAGATATTTTTAAATATTATTTTATATTATTGATATTATATTAGTTTTATATTATATTTTATTATGATCTATTTTTAAATCATTTTTATTTTATTATTTATAT